ATGGTTGGGGCTGGCGCAGTCTTCCTGTGTGAAGCGCCAGACCCCTTCACACCATGGAATGATGATGATGATGTATGTTTGGGGCTGCATTGCAATATTGATTGTTCGGATCATTGGTATCTAAGTCTTCCGCTGTGCTATCTTATACTTTGTATTGAAAGGTCGGTTCTTGTTCTGGTCTGCACCTATACGGTATGCAACAACTGTACAATAAGGCATTGAAAATTCGATGTTTCAATATGACAGAATCACTCTGCATTTGCTTCACAATCACAGGACAGGACATGCCTCACATTCCACAAGCAGAATGTGGCAATCACGATCACAGTCACGTTACCTGCTTCATAAAGTCTTCTCTTGACCTTCCCCCTCCCCAGAATGCTGAGCTGGCATACACAAGCTTCCCTTTGAAGAACATGAAGTATGTAGGTACCATTTTTAAGTTGTATCGCTTGGCGAGCAGAGGGCCCTCAGTTAAGTCCACTTTGACCAACCGGAAAAGGGGTAGCTGCTGCATCTGTGCCCTGTTTTCTCCGTTTGGGCGAGCGTCTTCGGAGCCCCATATCTCCCAGTTGAGCTTCTCCAACACCCTTTCATGCTCTTTGCTATGATACACCCTGCAGCAGCAGCAACAAAGTCTGAAGGCAATACTTTCAGAAGATAGTTCTAATTTCTAAAGACCCTGCCTTGCAACACTGCCACTCTAATCTTCTTCCCTTTTCTCCCCTGCGCTCCGCGGCAAAAAGGGGCAGGCAGACTCCGGCAACAGTCTGTCGGGAGACACAGCCGCACAGTCTCGAGTGATGGACACTAAGAAGCAGCACCAGAAGCATCGAACAAACTCACAAAGACATAAGCAATGTGCATAAGTAAAGCGGTAGCCCCTAATGCATCCACCCTGCCTTGCCACCCTTCATCTGTAATCTTCTTCTCTTATTCCCTGTGCAGCCGCGCTCCCCCCAAAAAAAGGGGTCGCCCCTGATGCATCCATCCAACATGATTTGAACTCTTGATCTCTATGGGGGTCCTCAAGACAAGAAATGATGCACGTGAGGGAGGAAGGAAGAAATATGACGTTGTCGGGGAGAGCAATGGGAGTTATGGGGGTCATCAAGACAAGAAATGATGCACACGAGGGAGGAAGGAAGAAATATGACGGTGTTGGGGAGAGCAATAATACACACGGCAACGGTAGCAGAAAATACAGGGAGCGTGAGAGATATGAGAACTTACGTACCAGCCAGCAAGACAGCACACCACTAATAGTTGCTGAGTGGTTGCCATTGAAGCAACTAACTCGTCGAGATCCGTCATTTTCACAAGTTCGAGGTGAGCCCGCTTCACTGGCATTCTCTTGTACAGGTCTGGATTGAACCTGCATCACGCACAATTGGGGAGTGTGTTGCAGGAGGTTTCAGGGTTTAGGGTTTAGGGTACAAATAAGTTTACAGTTTACATATGGGCCCAAAGGGTGGGAGGTTAGTATCAGCAGACGCAACAGCTCTCTCTCTCTCTCTCTCTCTCTCTCTCTCTCTCTCTCTCTCTCTCTCTCTCTCTCTCTCTCTCTCTCTCTCTCTCT